ATTGAGCCATGAAAAGACATTGCATGGTAACACACATCTATAATCTCAGTATACTGGAAGGCTGCGGCAGGATTGTAAATTGGAGGCCACCCTGGGCAATTTAGTAACTTAGTGATGCTGTCTCAAGCATTAGGGTTAGGGTTAGTAAGTTAAAAAGAAATGTCTGGGGGATGAAGTAGCTCAGTGTGAAGGCCCTGGGCTTAATACTTAGTGCCATATTAAAGAAAAAAAAAAGAAACGTTAAGTGAATATTACCAAATATGAAAGAATCTAAAAAAATTACCTATAAAATTTCAGTGATAAAAGGCAAAACTATGAACATAGTAAAAACAATTAGTTGTCAAAGGTTGAGAGGAGGACCAGGGATTTAGCTCAGTGGTTCTGCTGCCTGCCTCGCAAGCGCAAGGACCCGAGTTTGATCCCCACCAAAAAAAAAAACAAAACAAAACAAAAAAAAAGGCGAGGATCCACAAAAAAAAAAAAAAAAAAAAAAAACGTTAAGAGGAAGTAGAAGCGAACAGGTGGCAGACAAAGAATTTTTAGTGATTCTGTATGATACTATGATGGATACATGTCATCATACATTTGCAAAACCTGCAAAATGTACAATACTAGGAATGAACCCTAATGTAAACCATGAATGACAGCATGTCAAAAATAGCAGCACCCCTCACCTGGCCGTACAGGCAGTGACCCCACCCTTAACCTCCTGGTGAGGCAGCTTCTGTCAAAAGACTCAAAACATTTGCTGTAACTATATCCAAACTTAAACAGTTCTGTCAAGCAGATGAATCTGAAAGACTGACAAGCTTATTTCAGGTAAAGAAACTAATGATTTATAATCCCAGCACTCAAGTTTGAGGCCAGCATGGACTACACAGTGAGTTCAAGGTCAGCCTGAACCACAAAGTGAAACTCGGTCTCAAAACAACAATAAATAAATAAATGAAACTGATATTAGACATTCAGTTAAAAAAGTTGATGAGCCTCTGCTGTAGGCTACTACAAAACTGTAATAAGGACAGTCTGAATGTTGCACTCCTGATAGGAATGTGTGAGGTGTTTTCCCCTGAGAATACTTGCCTGTTCTGCAGGATGCTTGCTTGCTATGCTGTATCAATGACTGTACAAATTTTGTGCTACATGAATCACAATGGGTATTATCTGTTGATTAATAGCAAGATTCCATTAAGTACTGGATTATGAGTTTCTACAGCAAAAATTTTGTTGGAGAATGTCCTAAAACCCCTACAATTTATGTACAACTCCTGTCCAGAAGGTACAAAGCAACAAGTTTTTTCAGCCTTCACAGAGGCATTTCTGGCAGTACCTTTTACAGATTAAGTTTTTCATTTCATCATTTCTGCATTAGCAGATGTATAGCCTTTTTTTTTCAGCCTTTTCTGAATTATTGTTATTAGAGAGAGGATGTTCAGAAAGGAGTGATGATCAGCATGACTTGTCTATTTTGTTAGCTAAAATTATTTGGGGATGCTCGCCAAGGAGAGCCTGGTGGTATTCTCTACAGATGCTCCTGACCTTCCTTTCCCAGTTACCTGCCTCACCTGCCACAGCCAACTGTCAACACTGCCAGTGACTCTGAAAATGACAGTGAAGTGGCCAATGAGCCCATCAACCTGAGCAAGGCAATCTCCACCCAACACATAACTGAGGAGGACCTGAGGAAGCTGGACACAAAGCAGCAGCCCAACACTCTGCTAAGTGTGGTATGAAGGGACCTGGCCAGCGAGGAAGGGTTTCTCAAGGATGGCCTGCATCTGCCACATTCTCATGGTACTGCACCACTCAATGATGCCCAGTCAGGCTTCTCTACAGTTTAGCTTTCAATGCCAGGTTTGAGGCACATTTGGTTTCTCATCTCTTCCACGACAACATAGATGATCACAGGGTTCATGCTGCCATTGTTCTAAGTGATATCTTGGGGTTCTCCCGTGTCTTTGGAAGAATCTAGTTAAATAATCCCATTATCTGTCACTTTAACTCTTTGCATATAATCATATGCTGATTTCCATACATGATAATGAATTCTCTGACAATCCATAAAAGTTAAAAGTCAAAAACAATCATCAGTGATGCCTTTCACTGTGGAGAAGCTGATTGTGCTATCTCACTGCTTCCAGATGCCTGTTTAGAGATCATCAAGCTGGCATACCCAGAAACAAAACCAGAGATTCAAGAAAAATATATACTCCTGGGCATAGGAGCACATGCCTGCAATCGCAGCACTTGGGAGGCTGAGGCCAGAGGATCATCACAAGTTTGAGGCCAGCCTGGGCTACATAGTGAAACTCTGTTTAAAAAAAAAAAGAATATATTACAGCATTTTGGGGTTTTGTTTTTTTAGCCTTCTGAAATATCAGTTATTACTAATTCTGGGTTGTAGCAGTATATACAGATGGAATAACAAAAAACAATTAATTCAGTTGTTTAAAGTGATCACCAATCCTGAAAACACTGAAATCTAGAAAGACACGAAGAGAATTTTTTGTTCTCCAAATCACTGGCTGATATTAAAACAGATATGGTCACCCAGCTGTACTGGCTTAGCTTCCAGACATTGTATAGAAGTTCTGGCCAACGGGGAGTTCACTCTGGAAGTGTTTGGAATCCCCACTGCTAACTGTACCTAAGGAGTGGCAGCTCACCATTCTGACAGAGCTGCCTTTTGTGGGCCTAGGTGAGGAAAGAGTGAGGATCTTTCAAAGTCTGATCTATGCAGATAAGCAAGAAGTTTAAAGAGGTGGTGAAGAAATTATATTTATGAAGACACTTGTAATAAACTTTCCCCAGAAAAAGAGTATGATTTGAAAAGCAGAGCCATGTACACTTGCTCAATAATGCCCATGGCCTGGATGAAACTGGCATCTATGGTGGTGATATTTTCAGACAGCTTTTACATGAGTTACTGAAACTAGGCTTTATCCCAACCAGGGATTCCTTAAGACTACTAATGAAGGGCCTTTGTGCCCCAACCCAGCTGCTCAGATACTTGTGGAGATTATTTTGTTCAACTACTACTTCCTAGGCAGAATACTCTGAAAGGCTCTCTACTAAAACATGCTGGTGAAACTGCCTTTCCAAGCTTCTTTCTTTCCAAGCTGCTAGGGACCACAAATGTAGGCATTCACTGCCCAACCTTCCTAGTACTGAGGTCTGTAGGAACCTGCTGTTCCTCAAGAGCTACGAGGGAGACATGGAGGAGCTGGGGCTGAACTTTATCCTGGCAACAATCTGGGAGAGGCCCCGGGTGGTTTAACTAAAATTTGGTGGGAAAGGTATTCCTGCCACCACAGTGCCAAACACACCATGTATGCCTACCTTGTGGTTGAATCCAGGATGAAAAGATTTGCCCACAGTGCCTGCCATTCTGAGAAGTCCTGGCTAAGTCATCAGCCTGGAATGGCTGAGGGATATTTGACCAGCAAGTACAGTAAGTTCCCAACTTACGAATGAGTTCCATGCTGGGAGAACATCTGTAAGTTGGATTCATTCCTGAGTCTTAAAATACTGTACAACTAAGACACAAATATATAATGTAAAGCATAAAAAAAACCAAACATAAAAATATAGTCATGCCTCTGTTCACAAATGATTCTGTTTGTAAACAATTCAGTTCACAAGCAAAAGCATTTGGCAAAATTTTGCTTCAGTTTGCAAACTGCATTTGGTGATAAACGCCACCATTGTGCAGCTGGGCGTGACAGCACACTCCTGTAACCCTAGCACTCAGGAGGCTGAGGGAGGATTGCCTCGAGTTCAAGGCCAGCCTAAACTACAGAGTGAGACCCCATCCAAAAATAAATAAAATAAATAAATCGATACAACCACAGCCATCCTCCCCACACAAGCACAAATGCAGCCATCTTCTCCAAAATTGTATGACAAATTAAGTTCGTAAACCAAGGTACCATTGTACTGTAAATAAAGTATTTTTACTTTAGTGATCTGTTCACATCTAGGAATGTTCATAATACAAGGTCTGTTTACATCAGTGAAAGTCTGAAACTCAGGACTTACTGTATTAATTTCTTTCTTTTTTTTAAGTTCACTAAATTTATTTTAAAAATCATAAAATGTTTGTATTAATTTCTTGTATGCAAGTTCCCATAAGGCTAGAGGACCTAAAATCCTTTACAATCTATCCTGTGATTAAAATGCTTTGAAAAGGGCCAGGGAATTAGCTCAGTAGTTCCACCACCTGCCTTGCTAGACCAAGGACCTTCAACCCCCGGTTTAAAAAAAAAAAAATGCTTTGGAGAATTGTAGGTTTCACTGATGAAGAAAAGCAAAAATTGCTCTAATTTGTAACAAGCTGTGCTCTGCCCCCTCTTTTGGGGATTAAGGAACTTTACCCTGGATTTTGTTATCTATACTGGGGGATCTGACCTCCATCAGCCTCCCACCACCAGTACCTACCTGAACCTGCTGAAGCTGCCGCAGTTCTACCATAAGGCACTCCTGAAAAGTAAGTTGCTCTACACCATCAAATGGGACAAAATGACCTGAGGTGGAGCTGAACCCAACCTGCATACATGAGAGTACCTGGCTGGACCTTTCAGATCTCCTTGACACCTGCCTTTTTCCTGGCCTCTATTTTTTAGATGGCTTTTATTACAACATGGTCAAGTATTAACACTGCTTTTCAAATAACTTGTTACATGCCATGTGGCTGATTTAGTAATTTTGCCAAGAGCAGTTTTTAGACTAGACCAAAGATGAAGCTTTGCTGACCCAGTGAGAATCCCCTCCTGGAGTGCAGTGCATGGTTTGCAGAGACAGTATGAGGGGCCTAGATGCTGGCCTGAGGACTACTGCTTCTCACATGATTGATTTTTTTACAAGTTTAATCATTACACCAAATGGCATTTAATCCTGCTGCCTTTCCCAAAGTTAGGTTTGGAAAATAGGTAATAACAATAGTTTGTACTTTTGAAGTCATTTCCCCCAAGCGGGACTATTCTGTTCTATATAGCACTGACCTGCATCATGATATGATGGATAGTCTGGATATTGCTGTGTGGGTGTGGAGTGGGCACTTCTTTCCTTGCTGTCTCTGTCTCCATTCTGTGCCTGGAGAGCTTCCCAGGAGGCAAAGGAGGGTTCCTGTACCGCATCTGCACTCATGTCACCTGCAGTGAATGGCAGCTGGGTAGTGAGCACGAACTAAAGCTTCTGTCATTTGTTTTTTGTTTTGTTTGTTTGTTTTTGAGACAGGGTCTCACTATGTAGTTGAGACTGACCTGGAACTCACTATGTAGCTCAGGCTGGTCTCGAACTCCCAGTGATCCTCCTACCTCAGCCTCCCAAGTGCTGGGATTACAGGTATGTGTCACCACGCCCAACTCTAAGCTTCTGTCATTTGAACCAAATTGGTAAGTGGGTTCCATCTGTGACCCAAGCACCCTCCTCAGACTGGGCCATACCACTATCATCCTGGGCATCCTAGAGTGACTCATCGGTCTACAGCAACCTCTGCCACTTGCTGTTGCTTAGACACAAAGATAGGCATCCCTGGTGCATTGGGAGTAGAGGCTGTTGGGTGATTCTCACCTGGGCACTATACTTGTTGTAGAATGAGCTCAGCCTCTGCAAGTAGCAAGCATTCAGGAACATCAGCCACAGCAAAAAGCATGGACGCTGGGAGGACCCCAACACTCACCTCACCACACCTGACATAGTGTCTTGGGGTTCTGAGGGATACTGTAGGTAAATCACCAGAATTAGCAGTATACTTCTAAATGTATGGAAACTCACATTACCAAAAATATTACCTGTAGCTCTCAAAAATTAAAATCTAGGGCTCTCTGGCACAAAAGACTATTCAGTCAATTCTCCTTAATAATGACAGTTATGTTCTATAAAGTGTTGGGCCGGGGATTTAGCTCAGTGGTTCCACTGCCTGCCTTGCAAGCACAAGGACCCGAGTTTGATCCCAGGCACCAAAAAAAAAAAAAAAGGCACTGTGTACGTGGAGTTATCCAATACCGAGCCACTATACTTAGAAGAAAAAAATGGCTAAGTTCCTGGAAGCTTCTGGTCACATTTTCATTAACCAATCAATAGATAACCTTCCAGGTCTGCACACATACAAAACATACCCTTTTAGTTATTTCTATTTAGACACCTTAAAATATATTTCTGATTAATACTTAACTCATAGCTAAGAGCACTAAAACTCATGCTTAAACCAAACTTATACAACACATGTAAGGCAAATCAGCCTATTTATGCAGGGCTGGGGATTTAGCTGAGTGGCTCTGCACCTGTCTTGGAAGCACAAGGTCCTGAGTTCGATCCCCAGTACCAAAAAAAAAAAATACCAGACAGCGCAACACCATACTTGGGAGCTGTTTTAAGCATTGAAATCATCCACAAAAGGAAAATTCAAAAAAAGGTGGATAAAGACATACCATAAAGTTTTGTTTGTTTTTGGTACCAGGTATCAAACTCGGGACCCTGCACTTGTGAGGCAGGCAGCAGCACCTAAGCTAAATCCCCGGCCCTACTCCATAGTTTTTCCAAATTGACTCTGCTGGATGGCACCCAGCAGCAACATTCACTGAATTTTGATCACACCTCATAAAGACAAAAGAGAACTTCCAGAACTGCTTCAGAAAGTGACAGGAAAAATGGGATAAGTGCGTTCCTGCTGGGTATACTCCCTGAAGACAGGCTATATTGAGGATTAACATCAATGTGTGTCTTACTGAAATAAAATATTTTCTAAAATTTCTACATTCACTGTATATTTTCATCGCCTCATGTCATTTACATAAATTTTTAAGTAACACCTTTATTGAGATATGACTCAAACATCACACTATTCACCCACTAATGTGTATCATTCAATGGTGTTTAGTGTACTGCACTCACCACAATTTTAGAATTTTTTTTTTTTTTCTGGTTTTTGATACAAGGTCTCTCTTGCTATATAGTCCAGGCGGGCCTTGAAAGCTATAATCCTCCTGCCTCACCTCCCAAGTGCTGGGATTACAGGTGTGCACCAGAATGTCCAGCTTAGCATATTTTTATCAGCTCAAAATGAAATCCTCTACCAGGTGGCAAACCTGTAGCACAGGTGGTGTTTTTCTTTTAAGACAAAAGACGTTAATATGTTTTTTCAAAAGTAAATTCACAGTATTCAGGTTTAATTGCATTGTAGGCACTTTAAGATAAATACGTGGGTTTTGGGTTGCAGTTTGAGCATTCTTCTCTAAAAGGTTCACCATCACTGTCCTATACCCTTCAGTTAACACTTCCCTATCCCCTCAACCACTTCTAATCCCTAACCAACCACTAATCTACTTCCTCTCCCTAAAGAACTGCCTATTTTGGATAGTTTATATAAATGCAATCATATGAATGTGAGCTTTTACATCTAGTTTCTTTCACTTAGCATGTTTCTGAGGTTCATCCATACTATAACATTAGCACATCATTCCTTTTTATTGCAGAGTAACTTTCCATTACACATACACATTTTATTGAACTAATCATCAGTTGATGAATATTCTAGATGGCTTCTTTTGCTATTATGAATAATACTGTAATAAACATTCATATAGAAGGTTAGACTGCTAGGTCATGTAGTAATTCTGTTTGACCCTTCAGACAACTGCCAGACTGTTTTCCAAAGTGGTTGTTTTATTTTACACTCCCATTAGTAGTGTATCAGGGCTCCTATTTCTCCACAAGCCCCTCAACACTTGTCATCTGATTTTTGTTATTATACAATAAGTTAATAATTTCATTCAATCCTAACACACCCTGATTTTTATGGGCTGCAAAGTGCTCTTACTGACATCAAATTTTAGATTTGAAAAGAGCCCAGTCCTACTTCTCTAGCCTACTCTCCTTTTGTATAATGAAAAGACAGGGATAAAAGAGCTAAATCTGCAAATAAAACTTCCACAGGAGAGTTAAGATTTCTAAGCTCTCAACAAGAACCAGTAGAGAATCATCGCTGAAATGAACAAGTGTTCCTATCAAAACTCATTAAGCACCATACCTGCCTCACAAGCACAAGGTCATGAGCTTGATCCTTGTACCAAAAATCCCCCAAACAAACAACAACAACAAACTCATTAAAGCGCCAGGAATGTAGCTCAGTGGCATGGTACCTGCCTGGTAAGCACAAGACCCTAAGTTCAATTCCCAATACCAAAAAAACAACTAAAAAAAACTTCATTAAGGCTAGGGGTGTAGCTCAGCATGTGGCACATGACTGTAATTCCAGCACTCAGGAGGCTGAGGCAGGAGGATCACTGCAAATATGAGGCTAGCCTTGGTTAAAAGGGGGTTCAAGTTCAGCATGTAATTCAAGAACTACATAGTGAGGCACTGTCTCGAAAAAATAAAAAAGGAGGTCCTGGGTTCAACCCCCAGTACAATAATAATTACTAGAGTACTCAGGCGGCTAGACTGGGAGGCCAGCCTGGGCTCCATAAAACAAACAAAAGTGCCTGACTGCCTCCTTGCCCCAAGCTAGGCAGAGAGTGCAACCTTTTCCCAGGTTTGCCCATCACTGCTCCTTATGATATCACTGCAGCAAATACTGTATTCAGCTCTTTTGAACAAGTTCTGTAACAATGAGAATGGACCTGCCTCCTCAACGTAGCAAACTCTGAGGGCCAGGGATTTAGCTCAGTGGCATTGAGCCTGCCTTGAAAGCACGAGGTACTGAGTTAAATCCTCGGGACTGGTAAAAAATACACACACACACACACACACACACACAGAGCAAACACTGGCACCTACACACACAAGTACTTTCGGCACAGCGGGAGGCAGAGATCCATGACCATCAATTCCCCATTTTCACCTGTCCACTCTCTCCCATTTCCTTGTTTAGTTACAGACAGTTTTTCCAGACACCCTCTCAGACAAATTTAGTACATATTTATAAACAATTGGTTCTCATCTACTACACCACAGTTGTGAAAGACACAAACAGGTGTAAAATACAGTCTCTGCCAAAAAAGGGTCTGCTTCTAACCAGAAGAAACAAAGTTAAAGCCAGGGATTTAGCTCAGTGGTTCTGTCGCCTGCTTTGCAAGCACAGGGACCCAAGTTCGATCCCCTGCACGCCCCCAAAAAAGAAAAACAAAATCCTTAAAAAAGCAAATACTATTTTGCTGCTTAAGGGCCATAACACTACTGCACTTCAGAGAGAGTTGGCCTATCCCCAGGGGCTGAAATGTATTAGGGTGTTTTATAGGGAAGAAAAATAAGGAGGACATAGCACATGCCTGTAATTGCAGCACTCTGGGAGGCTGAGGGAAGAGAATCACAAGCTTCAGCTCACCCTCAGCAATTTACCAAGTTAGCAACATTCTACCTCAAAAAGAGGAGGGGGTTAGGGATGTAGCTCAGTGCAAAGACCCTGAGGTCAGTTCCCCGTATCTCTGCCGCGAGACAGAGACAGAGACAGAGACAGAAACAGAGACAGACAGACAGACAGACAGACAGACACACACACACACACACACACACACACACACACACAGAATAAAAAGGACCTGAACTGGGATCTGGAGGTAGAAGATAAAAGTGAGGAAATGGGGCATCCCAATGGACAAAAATCATGGGGTTCAGCTGATGAGAGGAACCACGTAGAGAGATGTGGAACATTTAAGCAAATCATTTAGGGAGTGGATATCAGGATAAAGTCTGGAGGTGGGCTGAAGATATCTGGGCAACAGCTCCTTGAATGCCACATCATGACATCAGGTATCACCTCATCAGTCCACTTCAGACAGACTTGAAAGGAGAACCTCCAGTCTGGGAAGTGTATCTGTTGCCTACAGCAGCTGAAGTTTACAGGTGAATTATGCAAAGACAAATCAAAGTGAATGGAGGGTCTGTTATTATGAGTCTCACTCATTTGCACTTAAAAACCCCATGCACAAGCTGGGCATGGTGGCGCACGCCTGTAATCCCAGCACTCTGGAGGCTGAGGCAAGAGGATTGCTGTGAGTTCGAGACAAGCCTGGGCTACATAGTGAGTTCCAGGTCAGTCTCAACTACATAGTGAGAGCATAAGCAATAAACAAAAGACAATAAAAGTTCTTTCATATCCTGATTTCCTTGGAATCCGTTTCTAACATAGGGCTAGACCAAGGATAAACTTTAAGGGCCAGGGATTTAGCTCAGTGGCTCCAGCACCTGCCCTGCAAGTGCATAGGGCTGGAGTTCGAACTCCAATACCAAAAAAAAAAAAAAAAAAAAAAAAAAAAACTTTATATGGGCCCTGAAGCCGGGCATGGTGGCGCATGCCTGTAATCCTAGCACTCAGAAGGCTGAGGCAGGAGATCGCTGCAAGTTTAAGACCAGCCTGGGTTACACAGTGAGTTCCAGAACAGTCTGAACTACATAGTGAGACCCTGTCTCAAAAACAAAACAAAACAAAACAAAAAAGCTTCTCTTTTAGCTGTGTTCTCTTCGGGCGGGGGATTTAGCTCAGTGGTTCCATCGCCTGCCTTGCCAGCACAAGGACCCAAGTTCAATCGCCGATACAAAAAAAAAAAAAAACTTGACAAAAGATAATCTATATCTCAAAGAGGTCCAATACTAAAACAGGATAGGAGTCTAACCTAGAGTTACTGTTACTTTAACAGAGAGAGAAGAAATTTAACTCTGTGGCTTCAACTTGCTTTCTAAATGCAAGCAATAGGGCTTGGGCTGGAACAATTTTGAGAAGCTCCTAATATTTTTCCTCTTCTTTTCAATAACTGTCCAAAGACTTGTCTTAGCAATGTCAAAATTTATTTAAAAATTCAAAAAATGGTCCTGAGCCAGGCATAGTGATGCATACCTGTAGTCCTAGCACCTGGGAGGCTGAGGCAGGAGGACTGCTGCAAATCTGAGGCCAGCCTGGGCTACACAACAAGATCAAGGTGAGCCTGCACTACATATCAAGACCCTGTCTCAAAAAAGAAAAACAAGACCCCGAGAGAGGGCAATGAAATACAATAATATTCTCTCTTCTCACAAGAATATCAGGCAAACACCAACAAGCTGCCAGCCTTCTCTGGTTTCAGCATGTGGTTTCCAAAAGGATCTCCTGATCAAGAAGCTAGTTTCTTTAAAAATTAAACATTCAAGGCCAGGGATTTAGCTCAGTGGTGCTTGCCTGCCTAACAAGTGCAAGGTTCTGAGTTTGATCCCCACTAAAAAAAAAAAAAAAAAAAAAAAAAAAAAA